TCACCATCTTCATTGCAAAGCTTTTTCTCTCTCTCCCTCTCTGTTTTTCTCAGATATTATGAAGAGGACATTAGACATTGAAGAGGAAACTCCATTAGTAATTTGCGATACTACATCATTGATGTATAAATGTATATCAATAATAAATAAATTAATAAGTTTTCACTTATATGGCTTATATATCAGTGATATATAATGATATATCACTAATATACTATCACAGATTAATATAATTAGACATAAACTTGTTTATAATTGTTCTTTAGTCATATATCGATAATGTAGTATCGTAGATCAATAATACGAAAAACACATAATCATTTGCCCAAAACAAGTCAAATATAATTCACAAAAAAATTTTGAACTTTTAACTTATTATAGAGAATCAAATACCTAAATTAATAAAATAAAAAATTATTAATCTATAGCATTATTTTCCTGCCAATGTGCTCTGTTCTGTCGAGTACCGTCGATGTATCTCACCTTGCATTTTTCTCTAAAAAATTGAAATGGTTAAGATTGTGTAAATAGGAATTTTAACCCCATTTTAATAATATTACATATCAATCTCTTCAGTCTTCTCATTGTTCAAATCTAATTTTCATTACTTTTTGATTACTTTTCATATGATCGGTAAGCAAAAAATGCATATAAACATGCTGTAAATCGATTGATTGTGCAGATAGAAGAAGACAAGGGGTCACCACATTTTAAAGGCCAAATTTTCAACTCACAAACTTATTATCGAATTTGTTAGAAATTTATTTAGTTGCCACGTGTCTTTCCTTGTTTTCCACTCCACTAATGAATCATCCGGTTACCATTATTCCATTACTTCACACATTAGTTTTGTACGGTGTATATTTGCCATTTTGCACTATCTCCCGCAAGGGGTCCGGATCTTCTCATTTTTCTTCTTTCTCCTTTTTTTCCTTTTTATTCCCTCTCTACCCTTATATAATAAAATGAAGGATTAAGAATTATTTTTACCCTTCAATTACACGCAAAAAGTCTCAAATGACCATAAATTTAACTGAGTCATTCACATCCCTAATTTAAAAAAATTAAAATACCTATATCCTTGAAGTTAAAAATTTGTTAGAAGGCCGTGCAATTTATTGATATGGCTTTTTTAATATTTTTTTAATAGTAAAATATAATGATGGGAGTCACTCTACATATATTTTTTATATTTTCACCTTCCTCCTCTCTCTCCCCCCTCCTCACACTCTCTCCAAACTCCACTTCTGATCACTAAGGATATGCTAGGTTTATGCGATGAGCTACATGGCTTACCATGTAAACTCTACACTAAGGCAAATAAAATAAATGCTCAAACACACCAAAGTCCAACTTCATTTAATTTTAATATAACTCTATAGCAAAATTTCTTGCAAGTTGCATAATTATGCCTTGACACATCCAAAGAACTTTTGCTTCTCCTGTGTTGTCTAGAAGTAGCCATGGCCAAACTTGGAAGATGTGTCGATGAACTTGAACTACATGATAACCTCTTTTCTTGAGACCAACACAGCATCCATTGATCATCACATAGTCATCCTTCACAATACCATAGTGAGGGAAGCCACCCATTGGAGTTATGTCCTTTTCAATCATGTCTTTGCCTTCGTCTCCTCTCTCTCCTCCAACAGTGATCTCCAACAGCCACTGAGTCTAGTTTCATCCTTTTTCTCCTCCCCACTTTCTCTCTCCTCCATCCCTCTCCTTTATGTTGAGCATGCTTGACACTTGAGCCCGACTCCCTTGCACCTTAGCTTGTCTTTGTTTCTAAGAAAAAAAATAAGGGAAAACAGAGAGACTTCACTTCTTCACAAAGGACATTAGCTCAACAACAGCACATGCATGCAGGGTCCTTCATGTGGAGGAGAGAGAAGTGGGAAGGGGAGAATGAAAGGGAGGAGTGAGAGTGATGTCATCGCCCACGATGATCTGGCAACTCTTGACAAAGTGCTTGGATGCATGGGAGTCTCAATGAGGTTTCCCATTTGGATTCTTTTTCATATTCTTGGAAGTCTCTTGCATTGCATATTCCCTTCACAGTTTAGCTTCTCTCAATTCAGCATAGGCTTCATGTATGGTACCTTGCTCCATAACAAAATGGAGCCATCGATAGTGGTGAGTTTGAGAGGAAAATTCTAAGGGGGGGAAAGGAGAGAGAGAGAGAGAGAGGAGATTGCAACAACATCCTCACTCTAAGAATAGCAGCCAAAATAAGTTAAATAATTACATGACTGCTTAACTTCAAAATATCTATTTTTTATCATTGTGAAAAAACCAAAAAAAAAACAAAAATTAAAAAAAGAAAAGAAAGCAAAGGGAGTTGGAGACAAGGCGCTAGCCATCCAAAGCTAAAACGAGTACATGGCCTATACTTTGCCCATTTTAAGTTGGTTATAAAACATTATAGGAAAAAAAAATGCCTGGGATCAGCATTTCCAATATTTGGAATGAATTCAAAGATGATGGCTTGGGCAAAAGAATCACCATTGGCCAACAGACTTTTCTCTGGGAAGAACAATTGGTCTAGCTTGGAAAAGCGTTGACTGAGATGAATAGTGAAAACATGCTTATTTGTGACATGGAGGAAGTTTTCGAGTAGATTCTACCAAATGGGACGTGGGACACCTGGAAACTAGGGATGTGATTTGATCCATGTATCATTGATCTTATAACTCAAACTAGAATATACTTTGAGAGAAGTAAAACAGATTCCATTACTTGGTGGAGTTGACAATTAAGTCCAACCCTTAAAAGGCCAAGCCTAAATGAGCTAGGGTTGAAAAGCTTGAAATTGCTTTAAAGGCTCCTAATTTCGAAGCCTAATCTTGGCCCTTAAGTTTGTAGGGCCATCCTTGCGGCCCTAGTATTTTTTAATTTAAAAGCCCAATAAATACACTTATAGTTCCAAAAAAAATATTACACATAAAATTAAATCTAAAAAATAAATTTAAGTAAATCCACAATAAATCTATAAAGTTTAAACATTCAAATTTATTATCATAGCAACATTATCAAAATCATGTAACCAATTACAAGTATAAACAATAGATTTAACATTATTTAGAAAAATAGAATTTTGATATTTTGTCAAAACTTGTGAACCAATACTAAAAACTAATTTACTAGCCATAATAATGATTGAAATACTAAGAATACTAGCACTCATCTTTGAAAGAATTAAAAATCAATGTTACTTGTTCTTTCACTAGTTCAATGTCTAATTCTTTTATATTATAAAACTTAATATCGGTTTATCTAAATAATTCTTTAGTTCATATATGTCCATAAAAAAATCATATATACTCATAATTATCTTGATAATCCTACATTTTAATTTGTAAAGGATTAAAGAAATATCAGTTAACTACTAGTAAGATTAAAAAATAACAAATTTAATTAGTGAAGTATTAAAAAATACATAAAATGCATAATCAAAAGTGATTATTATTGTTGATAAAAGACTTGAAGTATGATAAACACTTTATGTTTTTGAATTTTTACTTGAATTTTTTTTAAAAAAAATAATCAAATCTAAAAGAGTTGGATCTTGACCTTAAAGGGCGGCTCTTTTAAGTATGAAATTCATTTACACCCTCTGATTAAACAACCCAATTTTAGTTATTTTAAGGCTTAAATGAGCTGACCTGACAGGCTTATCTCATTTTACTAACTCTATCCATCCCCTAATGGAAATTTTATTGTCAATTCTGCCTGTTGTTTCTTATCTACAGGTACACAAAGTAATAGCAACACTCCCGTGGAAAAGCATATGAAGAGTGCAAATCCCAGAGAAAATGAAGTCTTTTATGTGACTCGATGCACAATCGTGCCCGCACAACAGAACTTCGAAGACGAGGAATTTAGGAAGAGGAAAAATGCATTTTTGGACGTAAGCGAATGTTTGGTGAGGAGATGATTTCTGCCAACCCCCATAATATTTATTTTTGGGCTCTTCAGGACTTTAGAATTCAACAATCCATGGAGGTGCACAAAAGAGCAAGCCCCCCTTCCGTCCAAAGCCGGCATACTGACAGAGATACATTCACTTTGGAGACAGATGCATCAGTCATGCAGGACAAAGGCAGCACAATTGGAGGCATCATTAGACAACAAAGTGATAAATGGATCTTGGAATTCTGCTTAAAAACAGAATTGCTACCACCTATAATTACGGAGGTAAAAGCTATAGCCATTGGTTTACATTACTGCTGGAAATTGGGAATCAGGAAGGTCCAACGTTATCTCTGATTGTGTCAATGCCATCAACCTTATCTTGAGAGACTCGCAACAAAGCCATCCTTTTTGGGACATTATTCAAGAAGCTAGATTGATCTTAGATAGAGATTGATTTATTAATCTTAATTTTTTCCATAGGGACTGTCAGAAATGCAGGTGCTTTAGTTAAGTTTGCGAACACTTCATTTTCGGAGAGTCATTTCTTTAACCATCCTCCTCCTTTTATCAAGCAAGAGGAGGAAGGGATGAGCAATGACTAGATTGATATATTTTGAGTATTGATCTTTTGACTTGAATGAAACATTTTCCACTCCCAAAAAAAAAAAAAACATAATAGAATCACCAGCAATCAGATCAAATAAAGGGCTCAACATCTTTCCATTTTCAAGTTCATATTTTATAGAAAGAAAAAAATTACACTAAAAGCTTGTCTCATTTTGGATCTACAACGCTCAAATTCAGATAAATGATGACATTGGATGCCAAATAGAGAGCGGAGGAGAGGGAGGAAAGGCAAACAAGTTTATGCAACAATGGAGAAAAGAAAATTATTTCAAGAAAAGGTTCAAGAAGAAAATAAGAAAAAAATTACACTAAATGAGCTTGTCTCATTTTGGATCTTACAACGCTCAAATTCAGATAAATGATGACATTGGATGCCAAATAAGAGAGCGGAGGGAGGAGGGAGGAAGGCAAACAAGTTTATGCAACAATGGAGAAAAGAAAATTATTTCAAGAAAAGGTTCAAGAAGAAAATAAGTACTTTATAGCAAGATTCTTTGGGTCAACTATCAACATCTTCAATGAGATATGCAAAATATATAGTTCTAGCTTCCAAGCTTTAAATTCTACCCAAAATCTAATCTTCAAAAAGTACTCTCTCGAAACACTAATTCAAATATTTTCCCCTCAATCAATGGTCAGAACTCAAAATTGATGGACAAGAGTCCTTGCTAGAAGCCCCCAAACAAAATTCTTGCACTTGTATACCAACAACACTTTCTTAAACTGAAACACAAAATATCTATATAAATTGAAAACTATAAATGCTATAGAAAAATGTTGATTTCCTTTTCAGTCATCTCATAAACATGGTCTCTTGCATCAGCTAGCGCACTCTACATGACGCAAAGTAAATATTCAGATCCATTTAACTGGAAAGAAGAGAATGCAGTTTGGAAAGAAATAAATAGCATAAGAAATTACCTGCCCAAATTTGTCAGGAAGTTACTAGCAATGTTTAGGGATGTGATGGCTATATCATCATTAGCCTTCAGTGCCTGGGCAATTGCAAAAGCTCCATCATCCTGTTCAACAGGTGAAGAAGTTACGGGATATAACCAAGGTTTAAGAACAAATCTAAAATTGAAAATATAGACGATTATACCCTAATTTCGTTGAATCCTAAATCTATTGAGGTCAAAGCTTCATTAACCACTTTCAAGCTGCGAGCCAAACAGGCAGCACCCTGCAACAGTTGGTTCATAATGAAAAGAGGTAAATAAACATAAGATTGAGAAACAAAAATTTTAATTCCAACACAGGTACTGAAACAAGCCTCATCTCTCAGTCCATTTGCCCGCAAGTCCAGAACTGATATTGTAGTATTATATTTCAACGCATCCGCAACAAACTCCGCCCCCTTTGCTCCTATCTGTGAAAATGCTTCATATAACATGGAAAATTGGATGACCAAAGAATGTACAATAATTGTTACATAGGTTACCTGGCACCAACCAAGCTTAAGGGTTTTTATGCTCCCATGAAATTTTAGGACTTCAGCCAAGGCCTGGGCTCCATCTGGGCCAATGGGATTATAACTGAGTTCTAACTGAGAAAAAGATATAAAATTTGCGTTAGATATAAATAATGAAGACAAGCCACGAAGACAAGGGCAAGGAAATCTGAAGGCTTACAGTGGTAATGACAGAATTATCTTTCAAAACTTGAGCAACAGCATTGACTCCTGCAGCATGAATGTTATTTCCTCCTCCTGTAATTTTAGTTTGGCTACAGTCATGTTACTAGTAGTTTTCTCATTTTCCGTATGTTGGGAAAGAGAGGGGGTTGGGCAAATATAAACAAATTAGCTCTTCTCACCAGGTCTAATGTTGTTATGGACCGATTTTCCTTTAGAGCATCCGCAATTTTTTCAGCGCCCTGACACTTTTTCATCAGTTGATTCCAAGTCCAGCATATGTAACTCAATTCAAACATAAATTATCAAATCTAAAATTCCTCTCTTTCAAATAGGAACCATTATTTTTTTTATTCTCCTGCTCCATATAACATTATCACTCCAAAAATGCTCAAAAGGTTACCCCCTGTAAAGAGCTAGAGATGGTTTGATGGGTTTGTGTTAAGAAGTTAATTGCATGTTCATCAGAACGTTTCTCCATTGTTTTGATAAAAACATGTATTGTCGTTAAGGGATCATGCTTTTGTCATAGTTGTTACGGTCAGAACAGAACAGAGACAGATATTTGGGAAGGAGAAAGATGGAATTGATGTTTATTTGTCTGTGTATTGTGCTCCTACTACATATCACACGTGTCAGCATCAAACTACCCATACATCACCACATCAATTGATACAAACTGGTTTAGATGTAAGAGCATGATGCTATCAAATCAATTTAAATCGGTAAAAAAAACAAGCTTACACGTCTATAATGAATCTCCGCTTCCTATGATAATATAATAACATTTGCTTAGCATCTTTATGCAGCTTTTTGCAGCATGGCACCACTATGTTTTAAGACTATTTTATAATATTAATGATAACGATTTCATCACACTAAATACATGAATTGGAAGACAACTGAGAAAAGAGAATACCTCATCACCAATGTCATTCATGTAAAGATTCAACCATAAAAGGCTCTTGCTCTTTCTAATATATTCACCAACATGGAATGCGCCTTTAGCACTTAATGAGTTGTTGCCAATGTCTAGAACCATAAGTTTCCCTTGAGACAAAGATATTTGTCAGATAATTTGCAAGATAATAATTAGAGTTACTGAAGCATGAAGAATACATAGCCTACATCAGTAGCAGTACAACACAATCACCTTTATGTGAAGACAACCCTGACATCAAGGCACGGATTCCTTCATCCCCAATAGAATTTCCATGCAAATGAAGTTCCTGGCCACATTTGCCTCAGTCTCAGAATAAATCATGCATGTCTTAAGCAAACTACATGCCAAACATGCCCCAAGTAGATGTCACAGAAATCAGTGATATGAATGTAGGAATATCTTGGTAGGAAGACGAAAAACACATAATTTTTTCAGTACCAATTATAAATTTGGATAACATGCTGCGTTAACTGTTTAAATTTTGAAAATGTATAACATGATAGGATCTAGCGGCCTAGGTGGTTATTCCAAAATTTATACTTATCACTTGGAAGAAAAGAAGTAAGAACAAGCTGAATATTTCATCAAAGAAAAATAGACAAGAAAAGTACCCTCAAAGACTTGTTGCTCTCAAGTGCCTTAGCCAATGCATTAGCCCCCCAACGCACCACCATAATTCCCACTAGAATAGCAATAATTCCACAAGGATTCACGAAAAAGGAAAAGAACATGCAAAGAACAAAAAGATATCCCTTGATCAAAAAACTAGAGGTAAAATAACAATGCAACATGATAATTGCATATACATTGGATTGTATCATTTTTCATTCTCATGAAACAATAAGGAAGTGTCTCAAGGGGATACATCAATGTGACAATGTTCACTTACTTGAGATGTATGTTCCTTATGCTGTTATTCTCAAGAAGTGCTCCAGCTATACTTGTGAATCCCTACCTCCATTTCCAAGAACAAGTCATATAAGAATTCACCCAGTGATTTGGCTAACCAAGGACATTCCTACAGTCCAGAAAAATGCCAAAATAAATTGCATACAGAATATTCAATCATATTGTTGTTAAGTTCAAGAACCCGTAAAGTTGAATTTTCTTCAACATTTCTCCAAGAGCTCTTGCACCCTGCAAAACACAGGATTTATTAAGGAAACAAGAAAGGTCATCTACAAATTATTATTCATCACAAAGCTTACCTCATCACCTAAGTCAGTACTGTTCAGCAGAAGCTTTTCAATACTGGAGTTGTCCGCCAATATGTCACACAAGCACTGTAAACAAGGACATATATACTTAAATTAAACCTGAGTGAATTGCAAATGTCATCACAATATTTTTATCCTTTCTCTTTTGGGCTGGAAGGAAGGGCATTGATGAAATTATCTCAAATATATATCTTATAGTAACATTTTTTTGACACTATCTTCATGGCCTTTGGTTAGTGATACAGAAGCTAAAACCATAAAGAGAAAGGAGTATTTCTAACACACAAACTCCCTCCAATCCCATTTATAAGGCTCATTCTAGAAAATTCATTCAGTCTTATTTATTAGTCACGGTATAGTTTTTTAGGTAATATTTAAAAGTATTTTCAAAATTACCCTTATGAGAGAGAAAAAGTAACATGACATCACTTTTTAAATTCATTATATAGAGGCATATTTGGAATTTTACCCTTTTATTTCTTTTACTTTTTTTATTTTTGCATTGGTATTAATGAGGTTGGTAGAAATGACTTATAAAAAGGATCAGATGAGTATATCAAAAGAACATTTTAAGCTCCAAAACAACACTACACACATACAAACTGCTTCAAACACGAGGAAATTAAGAAGTGTCAAAGCTGAATAACAATGGATTGCAATAAGACATTAGAAGGTCAGTGTAAGACGAATCATTTATTAATGACCATGTAATTGCTGTAGAATAGGTCAGTAAAAATTAAAAGTTCGTGCAAAGTTAATATCAAAACAAAATATTTCATGGCCATGAATCCCTTGGTTTAACTCAGGTTCCTGTAAAAAACTGGCTGGTTTAGCACTTCTTGTGTTTTCCATCAAAATGCAGGTCATGCAACATAGTATTAAGGTTATGTTTCATTGATGGCCAAAAAAAGGCTGTTTGGTAGAATCTAGCCATTTTTAGGAAAATGGAAATAAAAAAAGAGAGACTTTGATGGAAAGGTGATTTTTAGACTAAATGTGTTTGGTGAAATGTGTTTGTGCACCTGTGCATTAGAAGTTTGGTATGAAGCAATGAAAAACAGGCAGGAAGGAGTCAACATGGTCAAATGGCATAAATATCCTTCATCAAAATACGCAAGTTGAGATTTCAAAAGGGAAAATTTTAGTCAGCACCCCTTGACCCAACTTAATTTCAGTCAACCCCTCTGAAATTTCACCATACATGTAAGGGACTGAAATGAAATTAAAGAAATGACTCAAATGACTTTATTGTTCTTGATGAAGCTAGACACATGAACAACTCATGGAGGGAAAATGACTAACTCATGTATGGAAAATGAAAAACTAACGCAGGTGAAATTTGCAACTCCCATTAACCACATGATACTACTATGAATTTGCAACTCTCATTCCACCTATGTCAGTTATTCATTTTTCCTACACGAGTTGTTCATGCGCCTAGCTTCACCTGTTTACATTCATAATAGTGTTATGCTGTAAATAAGTTTGCAAATTCCACTTACATCAGTTGTTCATTTCCATACATCAGTTGTTTATTTCATCAAGACAAGAAGGTCTTTTTGTAATTCTTTCCCCATCTCCCTCTCTTGAAAACCCTTTCATCTACACCAAACATGGCCTACCTATGATATTTGTAATTGTAAGCAATGGCTAAATACAAATAATTGAATTACTTAAACCTAAATAAGATAAAATTTAATTTAAAGAAATCATAATTTTAAAATAAATACAATATAAAAATATAAGATAAACTTAATTAAATTCAAACATCTCTATGCCTAACATAACTCCTCAATTTTTCATTATTCTCATAACATGTTTATCTAGATTGCACATGGTGTGTCTGATAACTGTTCCACATTACAGAAGATTGCAACACTTACTACGTAACACAATCACTGTCTGCTGCATCAACAAATTGGAGAAAAGAAAAGAGCCGCCATAAGTTATGCTGTCCATGACCTACGGTTGCATTGAACTTCTCCCAAAAAAAAAAAAAAAGATATTCCATGTGTCTTGCTGATTTTGGATAGGTTTGGTATTTTTTGGGAGCAGTGGGCATTTCAAGCTAATGCTGCAAGTTTTTTGGCCATCAAGTTCAATCATTTCAGCCAGAAAAGTGGTGTACTTCTTTAAACGGTGTCTGCTATGGCTGATTCATGATGTCTTTGGCTAGAACAAACGCAAGTTATTAATCACAATTTTCTTCCTTCACATCCTACTTGAGAGAGAATTATTTCCTTCGCCTATAAGGGCTACTGCAAATGGTCATTTAAGGAGTTATCTCATAAGATAGACAAAGGAACTGGAAAGTTAATACATCTGCTTGAGAGCAACGAATCCTGAACACACACACACACCCCCCAAAAAAAAAAAAATTTGGACAAGGATTCCCCATGTATGTTTGGTAAAGATGAATAAAAGTTCCATGAAATCCTAAATCAATCAGAAAATGCAGGATCATGCCTCCTCTAGTTTAATCATGGAATGGGGCTTTCCAAGAAAGCAAATTTCCAAACATTCTCGCACTCACTTGAGATTTTGTTTGACCATTAGGACCCAATGTTTGAGCCCTAATCATGCCTCAAATCTAGATTGGATCTGTAATTGTCTGCCAAAATAGGTCCCGATGGATTGACCATGGAAGTTATCTCATTAGTATTCAGTAACAGAGAATTTTCTGAAGAGATCACAAGCTGATGGAATTATGAAGTGCTCAGTCTGGTTAGGTTGTCTGCTGCTATGACCACAAAAGGAGAAAGGGTTTCAGTTTTCATCGTCATCTCCCTTCTTCCTTCTCATTAGAGCTCCTCCCGGCTGGGCATGGATGTGAGAGTGAGAATGAATGTAGTTGGAGAGCGTATGAATGAAGGTGGTTAAAAGATGTTATCTCAACAGCTAGGGTTCTTTTGGTTCTTTATTTTCATTTTTGATGTTAGCAATTTTTTGGCAAGGATATTTTTGCACTTAGATATCATAAAGTTTCATTCCATCAATCCGATACATATATCAAGCATAATTTATACAAGCAATCCATTTTTTCTTACATACTGGAAAAATTTTAAAATCATTTCCATTCCTTTTCTTATTCACATTCCCATTCATTTTCCTAATCCATTGCCTTAAAAAATCTATTGTCATACCAAATGGGACCTTGCAGCAATTAAGTTCATAATCCTAACTTCATTTTGAGAGAAATTCTTGTCTTCGTTTCTGTTTTGCTCTTCACTTCACTTTAGGAAATTCTTATTTCTTTAGACAAAATATAATAGAATTTAGTTGGCTACATCTAAATACAAGAGAAAAAAATAACACAATTTCCACTGAATGAGTCATAAGCAACCGTAAACACAAATTTTAGAAAGATAAATTAACTATGTGACAACATATTTTAAAAGTCTCACTTCATGTCATCACAATCATTACTTCCCTGGTCAAACAAGAGAAACATTTGAAATTAGATTCACAATGTATTTATAGCTAACTAATTATTATTTATTTAGTACACGTTGAAAAACTTCGGACTAACCTTAGCTCCCTCATCTCCAACAGGATTTCCAGAAAGATCAAGAGTCTTCAATGTGAAATTCGATTGAAGAACACCATCAAAAGCCTTCAATCCAGCCGCAGTTATGCCATTTGCAGCAAAACTAACCTCCTCCACAACCTATGTGCCAGAAAGAGGGGGAAGAAACTAAAATTTACACTGATATGGCAACCAGCATAGTCTTCAGTTCATTAATTTCTTAATGAAGCCCAAAAGCATAGTTGTATTTTAAATTATTAAACAGGGAAGGTCAAAATAAAATTTTAGAAAACTACAATGTTTGATTGTTTTGGCTTTTCATGTATATGAATTAGAAAAAAGAAAAGCAATGATAAATAACAATTTTTCTCACCTGATTAAATGCCAAACTCTCAGCAAGAAAGAATAATCCTTCATCCCCAAAGTTGCGTCCTGCAAAATTGTTAGATGATGAGTAACATTTTGCTTTTATTTATGAATCTCTTTCAAAGTACGCAATACCATAAGGTTGTCAAGCCACATAAAATAAAGTATCAACCATGACAAAGCATAAAATCAATGAATGGAAAAAGCAGGGTAAATATAAAGAGAACAAATGGAGATAGATTGCATGAAAACATGTTAATTATCAAGGAAATCCAAAACAAATCATAACAGTGTAAGAACAATATAATATTCATAAAAGCCAACCTCAGTTAGGCCAATAAAGCACCAGCAAAATTGTTATCCAAAACATTCCCAATATACAATTGAAAAACTTCAGGCACCATGAATTGCATTAGATAACCATGACAATGCTTTGCATAACATTCTCGCAAGCATACCTGACATATCAATGCTTGGAAATGACTTAAGTTCTCGAGCAAACTCATTGAGCTTCTGCTTGGATTCTATCTCAATCTTTGCCCCAAGTTTAGACAACAAATTTGTCCCAGGTGCAATAGACCATTTCATTCCTTGTGATGAAGATTGTTTTTCAACAGATAAAGGCTTTGATTGCTTCGGAACAAGAAGCTTTTCTACTAATTTCCATACAACTGGAAACTGAAGACATATTAGTACAATCATTATGTAATATAGCAAAATATTTCAGCTTGATTACTTGCAATTACGATGAAAGAAAACCTACAAAATGTAACTATAGAAATTCTAGTTCGATTATATGACAGCAACCCTATAAGCATGAAAAGAGCTATCAAGATAAACAGATGGTATGGTTTGTGTATTGCATGGAACCCAATATATCAAAGATGCTATATAGAATATAGAGCATTTCCAATTTTCCTACATGTAACAAAAAAGAAGCATATATATTTATACATCTCTATGAATTCTTTAAGAAGCTACTCTGTTGTACATGTTATGAATAGTGTTGTGATTTGAAATATTTGGCTTACGTTAGACATCCTTTACTTCCATTATTTTTATGTCTAATTTATTTGTTTTAATTCTGTGGGGCTTCTTGTTGAAATCAATTAAAGACTTCACAGGATAGAATTTTAGTATGGTATGAAAAAACTTCAATTTTGAGTTTCAAATGCCTACCCACAAAAATAGAATCTTCTCATCAAAAACTCTTGAAGTTTAGCTTTAATTACTATTTACATGGGAATAGATAACACCAAGTGTCAAAACTCCAGCCCACAAGCTATCCATATAGCTGACTGACACGAGCTAATTTACAGTAGATAACAGCAGGTGTCAGCACTCCAGCCCACAAGAAACACATATGACCACCTGGCATGAGCTAGTAACATCCAACAAGGACCAGAAGTCAGCGTTAATGCGATCATTGTTGGTCCTCGTGCAAATCATATTATAATAGCGAGGGAAAGAGGCAGAAAAGCAGCCAATTCCAACCAAAACTGAAAACACATAAACCTTAAGATGTAAACGTGCATTATACAGTTCCAGACTTTTCTTACATAAGAAACTATATTAATTCTAAAAAACATTATAGTAGCCAGTAGTAATTTAAACTTAAGCAATAACAACTATAATAAGATCATAAAGCATCACACATTTCCATTCAACTCAAATTTCAAAGAAAGGCAGTAACTTCAAAACACGTAAATACGAAAGCCACCCATACCGAAAGTGACGGCAACGAAAACTCCAGCGGGCACAACAACAGAGGCAATCTGCTTCACGGGGCCACTGGACAAAGGTCCTTCAGCCTGAGACTGCCGGTAAACTCTCCGAGCGCCAGCAGACCGACTCTGAGCACCATGTACGCCAGAAGCAGCCCTAACCACCAAAATTCTGAAACCGCAACGCTTTCTTCCTGAATGAAGACTTGGAAGACGCACAAATTGCCCACAAATTCCCAAGCATTGCCGCCTCTGGATATGCAAGGGTCCCTGCAGATGAATATAGAAATTGTTAGGGTTTTCGAGAAGCAGAACCAGAACAAGAAGAGGAGGGTAATGAATACCTGTGGATGAGAGTATAGAGAGAGGGTGGAAGCGAACCCCATAGGTCCTAGAAGCTCATATATAGAAAACAGTTTAGCTTAATGTTTCTTCTCTGTTCTATGAGACGGAACAGGAGGCGAAGGAGTAGGAAGTAGGGGGTTGAAGTGGATAGAGCAGAGCCGGAGTGTTTATGGGGTGTCCCCGGAGTTTCAAAGGCTTCCTGAAACTGATGACTTTGAGAGTGAAGACGGCAGCTTCATTCGAAAACTGAGCTAAGCCGTTTATGGGCCTCACTTTAGCCTATCACGAGCCCAATGCTTTATTCTCAGTGGGCTCCTTTGTAGGCCCCAATGAAAATACATTAATTCATTGAAAATATACCTTTAAATAGCATTTGATTTGATAAATTTGAGTTTGAATTTAAATTTTAAAAATGTATCTAAATTTAAATTCAAATTCAAATCCTCATATATCCAAAAAATACACTCTTAGTTTAATTACAAGTTAAAAAAAAATTGGTGAATTGTGGAGTTAGAAGCTATATCAAGAAATTAAGTATTGATCTTGAGAATCAAATGTAAAAGATATTTTTGGCCAAAAAAAAAAAAAAGGAAAAGAAAAGTGTAAAAGATACTATTATATTGAAGCTCTAGGTGTAGTGATTGAAGATGAAAGCTCCAAAAGGAAAGCTTGATCTTGCTCATCAATATGATTACCACATGATTGGCCTCCATTAAAAAGATCATGTGCATTTTATATTCAGAGCATATTAAATAAGAATTTTATTTCATTTAGTGAGCTTTTTTTTTTTAACTTTGTATTCTTGTGTGAATATGGTTATTCAATGTTGCTTGGCAATTTACTCCAAGGAGGAAAAGTTAGCAAGGAAGTAATCATAAAAACAAAGACTAAGGTACATTTTTACTTATGAATATTTTTGAAAAGTAGTGAGTACCTTGTATTAATAAGTAAGATAATTTTCTCCCTAAACTATTTTTCTAAAAAGCAAAAAAAAAAAATCATTTCTATTTTTTTTACTTTGCCTTTTTTGCTGATATGGCAAGTGCGTAGGGCCCATGTGCGATAGCAATAGAATTCTAACTATGTTATTTAGTGTTTCTTTTTCAATGAACTCTTTTCTAAAAGTACTAGCTACCTTAAAATGTTTTTTTAGAAGCACTAAACACCTTGAAGTATTGTATTGTTAAAATAAAATTTAATAATTTAAATATTATATTTATAAATATTAATCTAAAATTTAGAAATTATTTTTTAAATATTAACAGCTCAAATTAGGTTTTTATAAATTTATAATTGACTTATAATTTTTTATATATTGATCATATTTTTAATATTAATTAAGTTTCTTAAATTTTTAGACCATTCTTTGTAATTTTTTTGATCAGAACAATCTTCTTCCATAATATTGCACCAGCCAAAAAATATATATTTTGATATTTGCAACTTTGTATTAAAAACAAAAGGAATGAACCTCCAAATTAATGGAAGAAATTTTCCCCTTATCTCTTCAAACTATTTTTGTAACACATTAATTGGACAAGTGATATCTTTCAAATATGCAATTTTGTTGGCATGTTGGTCATAATCTGTCATGTTTTTAATTTTACTCGTAACACTGCATCATACAGAGAGCATTAAATTTAGATAGTGTAATATTTTGAACAAAGATCATTAGTTGACTAAAATAAATTATAAAGAATGATTTAAAAATTTAAGAAACTTAATCAATAAATACATAAAAATTACAAGTCATCTATAAATTTAAAAAAAATAATTTGAGCTGTTAATTTTTGAAAATAATTTATAAATTATGTCTGAATATTTATAAATAATAATATTTAAATTAGTAAATATTAAAACATTTAATATTTTAAAAATATTATTAAATTTTATTTTAAAAAAACTTAAGGATGCCTAACGCTCTTATAATAAGATTTTAAATTTTAAAGTGCCCAACACTTTTGAAAAAAAGTTTAAAAACAAATTAGTATCAAATAACATTATTAGAATCCTACTTGCTATTAGGTGTGGGCCTCATGCACATGATATGCTATTAAAAAAAAGTCAAAGTTAGCTACAGCTTTTTTTTTTTTTTAAGCTTCAAATTTGAAAGTTGAGGGGTTTTAGTATAAAAGGCTTTTTAAGCTTGACATATGTAAATTCAATAAAATTCAATTCAATACTCGTTTAAGCCCATATTTTTAGGAGGATTAATGAAGATTTGTATTTTTAAATTAAATTTAAATTTTAAGATATACTCTTTTTGTGAAAAAATATAAAATATTTTTAATTAAATTTCACCTTCAATAAAATAGTTAATTATCTTCAAATTGATACCATCTTTTTATATTTATTCTTATTTAATAGGGTATTTTATTTTAAAATAAATATAAAGTAATTTATTTATTATAGGCTCTTTTGGAAAAAAATACTTTAATTACACCTTAAAATATTAAAATATTTTATATTTTTTAACAAAAAGAGTATACTTATATTTTAAAATTTAGATTTGTATTGCTCATTTTGGACTTTAGAACATTTTGATAATTTATCTTATATAGTAATGTAATAATGCAAAATTTAATTTTCTTTAAAAAATTTTGGGGGAAAATTAAAAATAAAAAAGAACAACAAAAAGCATTGGGGCCTCCGCTCAAAATCAATCGGTAATCAATAATTTATCCTATAGAGCGGATGACTCTACACTATGAGTACATAGACCCAGCTCCAATCTTGGTAATTTGATCATCCTCTTTCAGTTCTTCAGATTTTTTTTTTTGGGTTTTCCATATATATTCTCTCATCAAAGGCAATAATGTTCAAGATATTGTCATGTATTAAATGTCTAAATATGAACATTTCCCTCAATGAGAATTTAAACATTAGTTCATCACATTATAAGAGACTAGTCTATTTTATTATATCCAACATCTATTGGTGAAATTTAAATTTGATCAAATTTTCTCACATTTTATTTATACTAGGGGTGTTCATGGGATGGGACGAAATCGAGACACTCCTATCTTGTGTCCTATGCTATCACAAAAAACCTTCACATCTCGATCATGATCGGGATGGGATAAGACAAAATCAGGACGTCTTGATAAAATAAACAAAACATGAAAGAAAAACCTAAATAACAATATTTGTTAAATTACATAACTTGCTAAGTTAGAAATTAAAACAACACAGGTATATAAATTCAATTATTGAGTCACATTAACTACAATTTAAAGCAAAAGAAAGCAATCACAACAACTACAAATCAAAGTTAAGTGCACAATAACTACAAATGACCTTCAGATTACAAATACTATAACAATAACAAAATCATTGAATTATATAATTTAAGTGAGTAGATGGTTATGTAAAAAGAACATAAAATAAATAAAAAGGTATATACTTTGATTCTAACTAAACTAATAAAGTCTTAAATATTAATAAAAGAAAAAAAATATAATAATATATTCAAGATAGGGTGAGATGTCTTAATGATGATTCCATGTCTCCTCTCAAACATATTTTCATCTCATGTCCTTTTTCTTGAGATAGCACAATATGATTGGTACAAAACCAAGCCAACTGGAATGTGACAAGCTTGAATACCCATAGTCTACACAATCTTTTCCATCATAGAATCCTAACGTGTGTTAGGAATGCATATGGACTGAGTCTAAAAGTAAAATATGAAAACCTAGTGTGTGCATGAAAACATGTGGAGAAAAGTTATCATTAATGTTGGGTTGTCTAGATATGAGTAAACCTGAGCCAATGTGAGAAGTCCCATGTTAAATAAAGTTAGACTTAATAACTAATATAAAATAAAGAAAAAAAACCTATAAATTTGAGTCTTGATTTTTTGAGTTAAGAAATGTTGTCTTTGGACAATCGCTACCTATTTTTAAATATATAATAATATTTGCCTCAACCTTCAACTTGTGACAAAATATGCATGTGTGTGCCAAAGCTTGACATTTTAGCATGACCAAAATGAATTCTTTTTACTAAACATACTGCAACTGTTATACTAACTTATTTATGAATGTATATATGAACTTATCTTCAGATTTTTTTTTAAAAAGCATACATAATAGGGAGAATTACTTTGAGTTCTCACACAATATAATTAAATACTATAAGATCTATTGACAAATAAACAAAGGAAAATAACAACTAAATGTGTTGTCATTTTCTTTTCCTAAACTACCTATGGATCTTGTAGTACTTAAATACATTGTGTAGGGCTTGTATGTAATTCTCCTTATATAATATCTTATCCATTAGCACTGATTGATCAATATGCTCTCTTTAGTTCCCATGAGCACTTAAGCTTCATATAAAAAGTAACCATGTCCTCTTTAATTTCACCAAGACAAATTGTAAATCTTCTGTTCGATAACATTTCAAAGATATATTTTCTCAATTCTCTTGAAGGCAACTAGGGAATTGACCAATTTAATTGGAGTTGATCAATTTGTAAGTGAATAAAGTATTTTATATATTTCTTTTTTATTTAAATTTTATGCTGACAAATTTTTGACTATTTTATGAGGTGATTGCGTTACACTGCACAAACATGAAACAATTAATTCCAAGATTATTTACAAATTTTGATGCGGCCTACACTTGGAATACAATAAAGATAATTAGAATCATCATTGAATTGAAATATAATATTCATAAATTCTTGGTGCATTAATATATATTCATTGGTTCTTTAATTTACAATGCCCAAGACAAATAAAAAATAACTTGGATTGTAGCTTCTCCTTGATAAAGTTCATGAAAGACATCATTATCCACTACTACAGAAAATGGAATATTGGACGGTTATTTTTACCTATATTGAACGGTTATGAACTGTCCAATATGATACCGTCATATATTGATAAGACAAATATTGGATGGTTATATATATTGGACAGTTCAAAGACTTGTCCAACATAGTGACAGAATGGGTGTACAAGGAAACAATATATTGGACGGTTATTTTAAAAACTGTTCAATATATGTACATATTAGACGGTTCTGCTCATAACCGTCTAATATACTGGCACATATTGGACGGTTCTGATAATAATTGTCCAATATAATTATATATTGGATGGTTTATATTGGACGGTTATAGTAAATAACCATCTAATATTTTCATTATATTGGACGGTTTTAATAAATAACTGTCCAATATATTATAATTTTTTTAATACGCTGGCTACATTTCTTGCAGCCCCCTGCAAC